CAATTTTCTGCACAAAGCAAATTAATGTGACCAAATATATTACTCGGGCTCCAGTTGACTTAAACAAGAAACTTTGTGGTTGGCTTTCACTTTGATAAAGCTTAACTCTTACTTTAGATGATGCTTTTTCAAGGGAGATGGAGGAGAGTAAATCGGAAATGAGTTCGGACCAGCAAACCGAAGTTTAAAGCAATTGGACAAAATATGCAAACACTATTTATGTTTTATTAATCATAGAAAAAGAAATTATTTAAAATGGTTTCCACTTGGTGGAATAAAAAGAGCCAAGTAGCAACGCCATGTTTATTTACTGTTCAATATTTTGTTGAAAGAATTAAAATCGATCGAGGTGATGGTGGGAATTTCCTGTGCAAAGCAAATTATTACTTTCCCTCTTTCATTAATACTTTGCCAATTGACTTCCAATAATGAGTAATCTGGCAGAATTATTTGATGTCATTTGGTCACATAGTAAGNTGTGATATTAGGATGAAGATAAGAAACCACTCTCTCCTGACCCATTGGCAAACAAGTTGACATTTTTAATTTAAAACTTCCCTACTCTCTGTAAAATGCACTGTTTTATGCAATTACTAGTAGTGAAAATCGATCGAGTTCACTACCAAGATATTTTATGTTTAGAACATTCATTGGGGTTGTGGGTCAACAATCTACGTCTCTATTGCAAAATCGTGTTGAATTTCCACAATGAATTCAGTTCAAGAGAGGTATATCTGAGAACCGAGATCTGACTACCGAACTGTCTCATCAGAAATGATGTCGGTTTAAACTTCAAAGCAAAATCGTCATTAGCAGAGAATTAGTTTTGGATAAACGCGTCACAGAGTCTTGATAGTCCACATGACATTGGTCTATTACGATGTTGTCAGAATGATTGACATAGGGGAGTAAAAATAATGTGGAATTGCAATATCCATCAGTTTAAATGTGATAAATTGGATTTCATGAGAATGGGGTATTCAACCCACATATCAATTTCTCTAACAAATTAGTTGAAAACGGTTCCGAAGACAAAAATATTTACCATTGGCACACAAGATGAAAGGTAAAGCGGAAACTTTGCTGCATTCCGCATATTTCAGAGTATTGCGCTTTGACAAAACTGCAGAATGGATTTTGTAAAGTAAAAAACTGTTTATCCGCTAAGCAATCGTTGTGGTTGTAAAACAGCATCGAACGTATCTCTTTTCGAAATTATGTGGGCTTTTCTAAATGCGATCAATTCAAATGATATCGTTATCTGACTATTGAGCTCCACGATTGCAATAACTTGACTTGAAATCAAACCGAAAAAGACACTAACTCAAGATTTCGTTGGTCATTTATTTTCCTCAAGGACAATTGTCTGCGAAGAAAGGAAATAAGCTTTACTGAAACGTGTAGTTTAAATGACAGTATTTTGTCAAAGAGGTTTCAGAATGATTTGCGTGTGGTAGTAAATATAAAAGGACTTCTCACTATGTAGAAATTCAAAATTTATTATTTTGATTTCATTTCAATGTAGAATTAAATAGACAATTTGAATATTGCCTTAGGTATTTGTTTAAAGTAGGATAATTATAAGATATGTGAGAGGCGTTTCAAGAAGAATTAATATTTCAGAAGAACGCAAGTAGTCGGTCACATCACTTTATTTCAAATTTCTGCACCTTCTATTTTGTTTTAGAAATTGTAATATGAAGTTTTCCAATGCCAATCGAAATGGAGATAGTGAATTAATGAAATGAACAGGTAAAATTGCAGTCACATTGTTTGCAAGTTGTATAATGAGTGGAATTGCCTTGAAGTTATTGTGAGAAGTGTTCGCATGAAATGTGTCATGTCTTATTGTTCAATGGGGAGGTGCTTGAAGCCCTGTATTGACTCACATTGTAGAGTTACCTCTTTTCGAGAATTAGACACCGATCAAATTTTATTCTTCTCCTTCTCTTTCTTCAACCTCTTCTTAAATCATCTCACTACCTCTGAGACCCACTGCATCCCGTTTCCCTGACAAAGTTTGGATCCGTTCTTTCAATATTTAAAACATTGTGACCTCTTCATCTTCTTCTTCAATTCAATTAAAAATTAACTGACAAATAGAAACTATTTGGTAGAACTATCATGTTGGTGCAATTCCGGATTAAAGACAGTTAGAGTAGAGGGGGTTAGAGAAAATACGTGCGACCCCATGGCATTATGTTTGAAGGGTTTGAAGAATATTATTGCTTAAGATACTCTCCTACATTGCATTTCTGTGTTCTAAGGACATTTATTCTTTTATTAAAACATAATATAAGCCGTAAGGCGATGATTTTAAGTAGAAATGCACGTCAAACTTAGCATAAAGGAAATTTTGAACTTTTGTTGGGATTCAGTAAAGTGCATAGGCGCCTATGCTTCAAGCCATGCAACCTTTCAATGGAGTTTTGAAATATGCAATGGAAGCCGTCCGATAACAAAATGCTACTGATTATTAATAAGTAAAATGAATAATACAGGCATTTATTTATAAGCGTTATAGATGGTTTGTGCCACTCCACTAGTAACCTCGTTCTCTCACTCGTTCTATGCGTTCTCATTATTTTTAGTCATTTCTCTTCTTCCACTGCTCTTCTACAACCCTTCACTTTACCTAACTGATCTACTTGACAGCCACTCCTGTTATTACCCCCATCGATGTGACCTTCATTTTCTTTTGGTATTAGAGGGATTTCCTATTGTTTTGCTACAAAACTCTTCTACCTCTGTATCATTCCAAGCACTGGTATTAGCCTGAATGGAGTTGGTTGGTGAATTGATTTGAAAAAAACTGTACCTATAATTCCTGCCCGACTTTCGTTGCATTTGAGAGCCACTAATTGAAAATTTTCAATGAGCAGATTTTCTATTCATTATGTGAGGGTTGCTTACTGCAGATTTAGTCTTTCGATATTTCATGTGAACAGATCTAAGGCAACAATTTAATTTGTTTACTTAAACTGAGTTATTTATGAAATATTGACCGTCTCGAGAATATCAGCTATTTAGCATCGATGATTATAACTAATATTCATGCAACTCATGAATCACATGCAATTCGAGAGACCCACCTGAGATGATGAAGAAATTATTCGGTGAACGCCGATTCGAGACATACAATGTACAGCAGCCACTTTGGGACAGAGTACAATATTTCAATTCATCTGATTCAATAACAAGTCAATTTCAGTACTTTTTTTAAGAATGCATACTAGGAATACTCACCCACACTAACCCAATAGGGCAACTTCAGTAAGAATATTTAGTCAAATATTGTCATATATGGGGTGCGTGGGAGACTTACCTCCACGTGTTGCACCCTGCACAACGTATTTTCATACGGCAAAAAAAGTCCATTACTCGCCATTTGACTTCAGTTTATTATGATAAGAGAAATCTCACTCGTCAGGGTGTATCACAACTTCTACAGATCCTTCAGTTGAATGCTGGAGGGATGTCACAGCACAAGAAGATTTATTTATATTTATTTAAAATGGCAGGCTTTATGATATTTATCATTAGCCCTTAATCTTTGACTTCAGCTTCCCCCAAGAGGGGGGGGGGTACATTTATAGCAGTTAATTAATAGCAGTTCATTAGCT